TGGTACTGTGACTTGCTTCAACTTCTTTCATGATCATTTCACCTGATCATGATGTTTCATGATCAGCTTTCGTAAGATTCTTTGTGTTGATGTTTCTGATGAATATCAGCGTATCTTTTAGATGTTTCAAGTTTCAATCATGTTTCATGATGTTTCATAATATGTGTTCATTATCTTTTATATTCATAATTTCCCATGATTTTCACGCGATTTGAACACCGCTTTGTCAGGATTTCCGCTGTGTTTCCACTGATTCGGGCAGGACACAGACAAATCGCCGATCCGCATACTTTCCAGCAGCTCTACAGCATTGCCTCTGCCAGTGTGTTGCTGGTAGATTCGCCTCGATTCCGGGGTTTTCCCATGGGATTCCAATGGGATGGGGATTTGAAGCAACCAATCAACCAAATATGGAGAATTCAACCTGGTACACAGGTGATGGAATTCACAAAAATGGTGATTTAATAACATTTAATGGACAAAAAACGGATGTCAACCAGCAAGAATCAGGATTTACTGATTGTCTAACTGGATATCGCCGGTCTAAAAGCAAAAACATCCGGCTTTGTCTATTGTGGATATTTTAAGCAGCATCTAATTAACCATAGGGGATTTGCCAACAACAAAATAGGAAAATCATGAGGAGAAACATCATGGCTTATTCAGAAATGGGCCGCATTTTTCCCAAAAACATCGCCCAAATTCAGGGAAACGAGAACATCAAACTCATCAAACCATCCCATCACCCAACCCATTCCCAACCCCAAACCCCCCAAACTGACTGGCCGCTGAGAGACCAAAAGGGATCGATCGCCTTCCCAGCGGCCAGCATGATTTTGTCTTTGCCGCCAGGATGGTTCGCTACAAACTTGGTGATGTCGTAGACACCATCCTGGAAGATTGGAAAAACACAGCAAATTCATGACTGGTTTTTGACGGATATGGGTAAATCTGCGTAAAGCTGGATCTTTTTCGCCATGCCAAATCCGTATGGTACATACACTTACGTACACATGACAATATTTATGATTCATACACCAACATATAACAACTATATATATAGTAATAATTATAATATACATATTTCGGTTGATTTCTGGTATTTGTCACTGTCTTCCGGCCCATTTGGATCTAAAATTACGGCTTAAGCCTTCCATGGTTCCATCGTTCGTCCTTGTAGCTAACCCAGATGCCTTTCTCGATGGAGCTGTGTTCTGCCACCTCCTTCGAGGAGTAGCGTGGCCAGGGTTCGGCTTGGCAGTCACCACTTGCAAGCCTTGGGACACCGGTGGAGAACGGTTGGGAAACATCCAAAAGATATATGGAAATATGTTTTTAGTAACTCATTCCACCATTCGGAAATCATCAGATATATGATATATCCATTGTTTGACCTTTATTCTATCATATTTTACAAGTCGAGAAAAAGTTGAACACCGGAATTCGATTGAAGTGCCTTTTTCTTAGGTGGTAATTACCTGACTCCCTGCAACGCGGTTCATGACTTGGCTTGAGGTTCCAACTCTTGCAAAGCTGCACGAACCTACAGTGGCACAGCTGAATCATTCTAATTCTATGGATAGAAACTTACCAATCGAATCTGTTTTCAACAATTTCAAACAATAACATCATTGAAATATTTTCATTCTCTATCATTTATCCAAGAAGGCACTTGTGATAGCTTGAATGTCCTAATTTTTCACCAAAAACCAAACAAAACATTGAAAATACATTGAACCACCATCTAAAACACCCAAAAATTCAGATCCAAATCATCAACAACTCTACAAAGCATCGTGTTTGGGACCAAATCAGCCTGGGCCAGGCGATCTTCCGACAACCCGGAACCCGAGATCTTGTCTTGGACCACGTAGAAATGGCAGGCACGCGAGTCTTCGTTGGTGGAGATGCGCGCATCTCGGATGTTCAACTGCTGTTTCTTGAGGATCTCCGTTGCCTCCCGTGACACCAATGGCATCATTGTTTCAATGGGGCTTCACAAAAAACATGGAGGATCAATTGGGAAGATCAATTGGGATTCAAAATGATCATTTTGGGGTATCTTAGTATCTTCCACTTTTTGGACCTGATGGACCGAAAATATGTAAAAAACTTTCTTCAAATCCACTTTCGGAAGGCACAGCATGGCACTGCATGGCTAACAACCCGGAACGGTGCCTCACTCAAAAGACCTGGTCGATCCTCAAAACATCAAACGTTCGACCACAGAATGACACTTTCGACGTTCGAAAGTGGCCAAATCCAGGCCAGGCCCCAAACTTAGCCGCGGACATTGTCGACTCGAAACTTGATGATGCTACTACTACTTGCCTGCGTGGCGAATTGGGTTGGGACCAAACTACAGTTGCCAGTGGAAACAGCAGAAGTTCAACGACGAAGTTCTCCAGAGTTTGATCCCCGCCTCACAGCAAGACGGTCTAAAATGCCGTCGTGGTCGGCTTGACCTCACAAGCAAAAACGGAGAACAGTTGAGAAAATGGAAAATGGCGGAACAAACATATATATATAAATATGTTTATGAGCAAAAAACATCAAAACACACTATCATCATCTATCATCAATTAGTTGATGAGACAATAATGATCAATATTAGCAAATAAGTTGCAGTCAGATTGTGCAGAGCATCATATTTCAAGTCGATGTCATGGAGCTAAATGGAGCTAAGCTCTACACTCGTTTGAGTCAAGCCATACAGCAAGAGCAGCTGCAGACAAATAGAAGAAAGTGCTGTCCACCTGAGATTTTTCATGATTTCAAGGAAAAATTCTGGAAACCATGAGTTTTTACATGTCTTTATATGGTCATTGACATGTTTTTAGCATGAACTATGGAGTGTTTCAGGATTGTTTCAGGAATCTTGAGCGAGTAGCACCGGTCCAAGTCATGACCACATCGTTTCATCGTATCATCCGACGCGTCAAGTAGCTGTGCGGGAGCCACGCAAGTGGCCAAGGCCCCACGGAAAATGTCCTGCCACTGTACGACAGAAGGCCATCCGCGATAGAGGGACCTGGTGTTTCGCACTTCAAAATGATAAACACCTGGTGACCCCTGGTGTTAAAAGTCGGGCAAAGTGCCAAAATCTGGGAGCCAAAATTTCCGAGTTGACTTCATGTTGACTTCATGTTGACTTCATGTTGACTTCTTGTTGACTTCTGGAGACATGGTGCACATGATGGGCGTGACAATGTGGAGTGAGTTGACACAATGTCTGAGCCACCCAGAGCTCAGTCCTTTTTCAGTCAGAGCTGGGCACTGCTTTGCCAGTGGCACTGGGCATCTTGGCATGCAAAGACGGAGGTTTCCATGGCACAGTGTGGCTTGTCGCCTGTACACCAACCACCAAAATGATTCTGCCCAGCCCAGTTACAACCAGGCATCCACATACACGCTTCTGGATCATTGCTAAAGCTGCAACCGGGATTTTGCCATCGGCCCAAATCCCCACGACACAAAGTTTCTGGATCCGACTTGACATATCTCCAGTGGCATTTGGATTTGGAGTTCAGCAGGCAGTTCTCTTGGTCCAAATGGGCACATCCTTCACCGGAGCACCAGCCACCATAAGCCGTTTCGCCTTTGGAGGTGGAGCAGCCTGGGATGTAAGCGCACGTTTCTGGCCTTGGGCATCATCGAGACTCGAGACCGGCCGACAACACGAACTTGCAGGGGGTGTCTATAGTGATTTTGCCATGAAATTCACAGCAAATCCGAAACAGAAAAATTGGGAACTAGTCCTTTTCTTCCTGATGTGTAGTGGTAAAACATGGTAAAAACATGGTAAAAACATGGTCAAAACATGGTAAAAACATGGTAAAAACATTGTAAAAACATGTAAAAACCATGTAAAAGCCTCATATAATGTGCAGCCAAGTTGCAGGGCAACTTCACAGACCTCAAAGGAACCGGAGCAAAGTGCCTTGCTGCCAAAGCTCTCGGCGTCACCGTCCGTGACATGTGCCTCACCTCGCGAGTTGGACCCATGGATTGGGTCAATGGGACGGTTTGTTAATGGTGGTTGGTAGTTGGTTAATAAACATTAATGGTCAATAAACAACCAGCAATGATTAATAAACATTAATGGTTTAACCATCTTGAAAAATACGAAAGTTTAACATTGGGTCATGGTTTATCATTGCTGGTTGCTGGTGCAATAACCATCTTGAAAAATGATGGAGTTCGTCAATGGGAAGGATGACATCCCATATACTGGGGACCCCTTAGGGTATGTGGGGGGGACCTTTCCATTTTCCTTTTTAAGGTGGGGTTGCCTACTCCTGTCCAATCCTGATCCTGGCTTTGGAGACCAAGAATGCCTAAACAAGCCTAAACAGTGCATCGCGCCATTTTATAGGGTGCACAGCCGCATGGTCAGGGCAGGGTTTTACCTGGGACTGGAAAGCTTTCTCAGGCTTCAACCTGGCACTGCGGTGGGTAATAAGCACCTTTGGTGCCATCCATATATCAATATTCCCACTTCATGTTGCGTACCGTGTCTCAACACTTGGGCAAACGGGACGGCCGGAGGTATATTAAAAACATAAAAGCTGGTTCACATTTTAGGTTTTGCCACCTTGATCCATCGCAATCTGATCCCGTTGTAGCGGATAGGTGCAAAGCTTTTTCAATTAGCTTCAAAATGGTTGATTTAAGCTTCCAAATCGTCGATTTTAGCTTCAAAATCGTCGATTCTAGCTTCACACGGTGCTAGGGCGACGTTAGGGCGACGTTAGGGCGACATTAGGGCGTCTGTAGGGCCTTTCCTGCAGCTAAATGCCGCATCACATGATGTGGCAATCCTCCAGGGGCCAACAACAGGGCACAACCGACCAGATTGTTTTTTCTTGTACCCAGCTTGTACTTTATTCTTTCCAGAGGCTATTCCTTTTCATTCCTGTTCATTTTTCTTTTTTGTTTTGGGACTTACAAAAACACAATGAAATGCATAGAAGATTTCTTTCGCATTCCTATGCGTTTCATATCGTTTCATTGCTTTTAAGGTCTGTGAGTCCCAAGACATGATGGAAAAATGAAAAGGAATAGCTCTGGAAAGAAAAAGGTACGGAAACCTGTAGAAATGCTCCACGGACGGTCCCATTGCTTAGGGCCTCCGGCCCTAAGCGATGGAGAGGCCCCCAGAGCGAGAAACAAGCATGTCTCTTGCTCTGGGAAGCGTCCCATTGCTTAGGGCCTCCGGCCCTAAGCGAAATCGACCATTTTGAACCTAAAATCGACCATTTTGAAATTAAAAGCAACCAAATTAAGCGCACCACCGATTGGATGGGTTTTTGGGCGGAAGCATCCCCATCGCTTAGGGCCGGAGGCCCTAAGCAATGGGACGCTTCCCAGAGCAAGAGACATGCTTGTTTCTCGCTCTGGGGGCCTCTCCATCGCTTAGGGCCGGAGGCCCTAAGCAATGGGACCGTCCGTGGAGCATTTCTACAGGTTTCGGTACCTTTTTCTTTCCAGAGCTATTCCTTTTCATTTTTCCATCATGTCTTGGGACTTACAGACCTTAAAAGCAATGAAACGCATAGGAATGCGAAAGAAATCTTCTATGCATTTCATTGTGCTTAAGGTTTGTAAGTCCCAAAACAAAAAAGAAAAATGAACAGGAATGAAAAGGAATAGCCTCTGGAAAGAATAAAGTACAAGCTGGGTACAAGAAAAAACAATCTGGTCGGTTGTGCCCTGTTGTTGGCCCCTGGAGGATTGCCACATCATGTGATGCGGCATTTAGCTGCAGGAAAGGCCCTACAGACGCCCTAATGTCGCCCTAACGTCGCCCTAGCACCGTGTGAAGCTAGAATCGACGATTTTGAAGCTAAAATCGACGATTTGGAAGCTTAAATCAACCATTTTGAAGCTAATTGAAAAAGCTTTGCACCTATCCGCTACAACGGGATCAGATTGCGATGGATCAAGGTGGCAAAACCTAAAATGTGAACCAGCTTTTATGTTTTTAATATACCTCCGGCCGTCCCGTTTGCCCAAGTGTGAAGTTAGGGCGACGCTAGGGCAACGTTAGGGCATCTGTAGGGCTTTTCGTGCAGCTAAATGCAGCTAAATGCTAATAAGCTTTGCACCTATACACAGCTTACACAATCGGTTGCGCTTTTGAGACATGCCGTAGCCTGGCCGTAGCATCAACATTGTGGCCTGATTTTGGCTTTGTTTGTTTTGCTTACTTTTTGAAGCCAGTTGAATCCAATGATTGGTCTTTTGGGCCCTGACCTTGCCCGGAACCTGGTGTTAAAACTGCAGCGGATAGCACCGCCGGATGGGAAACCCTTGAATTTTTTTTTCCAAAAAATGAACCCCACCGGCGTTTTCTTTTACTAAGTGGGTAGGTAGCCCATATATGAAATGGAAAAATGTTCCAAACCACCAACCAGATTGTGTTTACAAAGTTTACCACATTCGATTTTTCGAACGCGAGTGAAGTGCTGAAGCCTCTGATTTTTTTTATGGAGATTCATGCAACCTCCAGAACAGCCATGGATAAAGAAATCAGCTGAGTTTCTGTGACATCTTCAGCTGAGTCACCCAAAATTTCAGGCTCCGAGTTTCTACTCAGCTGCAACTTCAACTGGAGCAACGACACCGGTGGTGCCTCGGCTGCCTCAGTTGATGCTAAGGATTCTATGTTCATAGCTACATTTGGACCGGGAAAATATGGGTGAACATATTCCATTGAAGCATTCAGGATATTTCAGGATGGTTCCATGTTTTCTTTCACCAATCTTAGCAGGTAAATTGATGGATGTCAATTGAGCAGTGTCAACCTGGGAAAATATCCAACATTGACATGCTTGGTTTTGGGAATTCACGGTTCATGGATGATAATCCACAACATATAAAGGATGTATATCACACCAAAAAACACACAGACAAACACACACACACACATTCTCTATGATATTACCTCAACCCTGTGTTTTTATTGTGAACCCTCATAGTTGGCGGTGGAATCCCAGCAATAACCCCCCTTGTTTTCCCATTTTAACATGTGGTGATTTCACCAGATGTTCATGAAATTAAGATCACCCAACAAATCCCATAGAAGTGGTGCATACCTTCCGAAGCTGGACAATCCACCATTTATAGCTGATTCTCCCAGCTATAAACCTCCATTTATAAGATTTTCCTTCCAGCCATCGTTGATGAACAAGATTGTAGGGTGTTTTTTCCTCATTCAAACCTCCGTTTACATGGGATTTCCCGCACATACAATACATTTATTGCAGGGTTTGAATGGAAAATCTCCGATCAGCGGAGGCGTTAAGATGTTTTAACCATATACACAATACATTTCATGGAGGTTTCAATGGGAAATGCCCCATAAATGGAAGTTTTTTTGGAAGGAACCCCACAGAATCACCCAACTGCAGCTTCACCCCTGACCTCAAAGTCCTCGGCGAAGGCCAGAGTTTTTAGCAGTGCTCCAAGCAGCCATGGCTTTACCATGCTGAGATGAATGGGTAAATTATTTTTTGGAATCACAATCACTACATTTTTCAGAATCAACTTTTTTGCCTTTCCTGATCTTTTCTGTATCTTCTTTTTCGGCTATAGGATAGCCGTGGATAACCCCAAAGTTGTCTGGTCAATTGGATGGTGGGTTCATGACTTGCCGCAGCTCCTGGTTTGATCACATTGTGCTAGAAAAAACTTGGTTTGGCCGTCTTGCAGGTGGAGTTTCCCGCTGGACTTTGGACCAAAAAGCATCACAGCACAAGCAAAATCATCCAAAAAAACGCATCTGTTCTTTTTTGGAGTGGAAGTACAGACTCTGACTGCCTTGACTTCGCAAGTTTGGCATCTGCAGCTCTCCGTGATTTTCATCGCTGTGTGTCCAATTTCAGGACGTCGGAGGGAGCGGTTTCTGTCGGAGACCTCCAGGGCATCAAATCCCAACTCTTCATGTCGGGTTCTGGTGGATTTCTTGGAAGTTTCCCATTTTCACAAGGGGAAACTCTGATTTTTTTCGTAAGTTTCATGCTCTTTCCCCAACTCATTTTCGCGGACTATATGTGATTTCTTCTTTTCAAATGATCAATGGTTTTAAATGGAGTTTTAAGCGTTTTCCTGCAACTTTCCCCCGTGATCAGTTCAAATCAATACACACGTGTGATCGGACTGTACCGTTCCACTTTCGTGTCCACCATAGTCCACCAGACTCGCCTCTGGCTTTGGCGCAGGTGGTTTGAGCTAGTCTTTGAGCTCCTGCCATATCCCATGAAATCATGCTCCATCTCACGGATTTGGGCTGGGATTTGGCCGATGCCTCGGGTAAACATATCCAAAAAATGTGAACTTGGTTTTCCCAGGAAAATCATCTACAAATGGTGCGTTCTGCACATCTGAGTTTTCAGGAGGGCAATTTGTTGTGACGACAGGAAGAAACTGCTTATGAAAGAGATGACAACTTGGCATTGTGTAATGGCAATTTGCATCAATTTGCAAGACCCCTCCACGTTTGAGCCCCGCCTCATTCAACCACCGGATTGCTACAGCATGTGAAAAGACTCTCCGCAGCCTCGGCCAACAAAACCGAAAGAAGATGGAAAAAACACAATTTTCCTGCTTCGACTTTCCACCAAAAGTATTCGCACCATTCCGCAGCTACCTCTTCAGTTGGCCAGCAGGGTAGCAGGCCTCGCAAAGACCTTCCCAGAAGTGTTGAGCCTTTCTACGATGCCGCCTCGCCTGCCCAGGCGTACGTGAAACTATGTGAAACTATTTGTCACTTTCCCTTGGCACTGTATCACACTTGAAGTGACTTGGGGGGCTTTTTCCCCTGGCGATGTGTGTTCTGGCACTCACAATCTTCCATCCTGCCACTTTGATGGTGGGAATGCTCACTCTTGATGGGTGAATCTTCTGCTGTTATACCATTGTATACCCCTGGGTGGAATTCTTTGTTTTCGTGCGATTTTGTGAATGAGACCTTCCTTTGGTCTAGATATTTGCTGGAGTGTTCTCCGATGTTCTCCGATTTCTGCTGTTCAGCCCACAGAATGAAGGCATACGGTCGCTTTTCAACTGACTTTTTGTCTTGCTCTAGCCTGAATGCCCGTGCTGTTTTTCAAGAAAACTAGGAGCAAACAAATTCTTACTGGAACGCAATTCGGCAGGAGATCATTGAAGTGCTTGGGTCCTGAAAAGTCCTGAAACACTGTAGGTACTAGCGCGCATCAATGCGCATCGTGCCTGCCGGTGAACGGACTCCACATCGCGAAGAATCGCTCTTTTCAGATACTCCATCTGCAGGGCGTGAGCAAAATTCAGAACTGGCACGCGCCAGCAATCTCACGAGGTCTCACGAAGTCTCACGAGGTCTCATGACTCAGATGCAATGCATGATTTTGTCCACAGATTTCAGCAAATCTATAGCAAAACTGTAGTAGATTTCAGCGACAACTGGTGCACAACAGATGATCAGCTGGAAAATCCACCTCCGCCGGAATCGGAGTGCACATGCGAAAGACGGGATTTATTTCTTCCGAGAAATTTAGCATCGCGAATTTCACATGTTGCAGCTCCACTGCCATGGCTGCGTTTGTGAAGCGTTTGTGAAGCGTTTGTGAAGCGTTTGTGAAGCGTTTGTGAAGCGTTTCTGAGGGGATATCAGGGATATGTCCATTTCCTTGTATCATATTGTATCACATTCTATGTTCCATCTCATTCTGGCAGTGTGAGCCAATATAAAGATATATAAACCAACCATGCTGAATTTGGTCTTGAAATGTCCTGAGATGCCTTGATACTTTGTTGGAAGTGTTTCAGCCATTGCCATCAGGTGGCCTCGACTTAGCAGCACCCTTACGGATGTCACTGAGATCTGGGATCGGGTTCATATGTCTGAAGTGTGTCAAAGTGTGACTCTGTGATCCAAGTATATCCGAATATACCCCAGTATATATCCAAGTATATTTGCCATAGATGTATGCTTCTCATCTCGCTGCATGTGATCTCATCTCGCTCACGTCCAGGATCATTCAATCTCATACAGGTTGATGTTGTTGAACACGGAGTTTCCCGCTGAACTCTGGACCAAAAAGCATCACAGCACCACAGAAGCAGCAACGCGCAGCAGAAGTTACCAGAAAACACCTTTGATAATCTTTAGTGTCTTATGAGTGGAGTTGCAACTGCCCTGACTTCGCACGAAACAAAACATTTGTCGCTCTTCTGCATTGTTTTCCTTCGGGCCAGTTTGGGTTTGTGGCGTCATGTGGCGTCCGATTTCAAGACTTTCAACGAAGGGAGAGTCTTCGAGTCTTCTCAGTCAAAGGACACGCCGGGCCTATTCAATCCTCAGAAGAGTCTCTTCCTTGGAATCCCAAGAGTTCACATTCCACTGTCCTGGAAGCTTCTGCCTTGAAAGTTGTTGAAAGCGCAGGATCCAAGGTCCAAAGTGACTGTTGGTTGGCACCTGCCGCACCACGGCAGTGAAAAGCACAACAGCTCCTCTATGCTCCTCTGCATCTCAAATGTAGTTCCAGAGAGCCTTGCACTTCTACGGATTTCAACGACACAGTGGTGCACCCACAGAAAATTACCAGCTGGAAAACCCACCTCAGCTCTGCTCGATGTGGCAAGGCGCCAAAGACAAACACATCACGGCAGTGGAGCTCGTGAACTTTGCGATGCTCAATTTTTCGGAGGAAATAAATCCGGTCTTTCGCAGATGCGAAAAACTGGATTCATTTCCTCTGAGAATTAGCACCCAACTGCAGCTTCACCATCTTCACCTGCTCAGCCCTGACCTCAACGTCTTCAAAGATACTTTGTTGAAAGTGTTTCAGCCATTGCCATCAGGTGGCCTCGACTTAGTAGAACCTTTACGGATGTCACTGATGAGATCTGAGATCGGGTTCACATGCCCCAGGAAGTGTGTTATAGATCCGTGATGCCAATTTGAGTCTGTGATCTAAGTATATCCAAGGATATCCGAGTGTACCCACGTATATCCAAGTTTTTTTTTGAAATACTCGTATGCTTCTCATCTCACTCACGTCCCAGATCATTCAAGCTCATACAGGTTGATGTTGTTGAACGCGGAGTTTCCCGCTGGACTTTGGACCAAAAATGGAGTGCTCTGACTGCCTTGACTTCGCAAGTTTGGCATCTGCAGCTCTCCGTGATTTTCATCGCTGTGTGTCCAATTTCAGGACGCCGGAGGGAGCGGTTTCTGTCGGAGACCTCCAGGGCATCAAATCCCAACTCTTCATCTCGGGTTCTGGTGGATTTCTTGGAAGTTTCCCAATTTCACAAGGGAAACTCTGATTTTTTTCGTAAGTTTCATGTTCTTTCCTTAACTCATTTTCGTGGACTATATGTGATTTCTCCTTTTCAAATGATCAATGGGGCTTCAATGGTTTAGATGGTCTAGATTTAGACCTGCAACTTTTCCCCGTGATCAGTTCAAATCAATTCTGGAACTAGTGAAACGTAGTGAAACACACCTGTGATCGGACTGTACCGTTCCACTTTCGTGTCCACCATAGTCCACCAGACTCGCCTCTGGCTTTGGCGCAGGTGGTTTGAGCTAGTCTTTGAGCTCCTGGCATCCCATGCTCCATGGATTTGGGCCGGGATTTGGCCTATGCCTCGGGTAAACATATCCAAAAAATGTGAAAAACCCTGGTTTTCCCAAGAAAATCATCTACAAATGGTGCATTTTCCAGGTCTGAGTTTTCAGGAGGGTACTTTGTTGTGACGACAGGAAGAACCCACTCCACGTTTGATCCCCGCCTCATTCAACCACCGGATTGCTACAGCATGTGAAAAGACTCTCCACAGCCTCGGCCAACAAAACCGAAAGAAGATGGAAAAAACACAATTTTCCTGCTTCGACTTTCCACCAAAAGTATTCGCACCATTCCGCAGCTACCTCTTCAGTTGGCCAGCAGGGTAGCAGGCCTCGCAAAGACCTTCCCAGAAGTGTTGAGCCTTTCTACGATGCCGCCTCGCCTGCCCAGGCGTACGTGAAACTATGTGAAACTATTTGTCACTTTCCCTTGGCACTGTATCACACTTGAAGTGACTTGGGGGGCTTTTTTCCCTGGCGATGTGTGTTCTGGCACTCAAAATCTTCCATCCTGCCACTTTGATGGTGGGAATGCTCACTCTTGATGGGTGAATCTTCTGCTGTTATACCATTGTATACCCCTGGATCCTGGGTGGAATTCTTTGTTTTCGTGCGATTTTGTGAATGAGACCTTCCTTTGGTCTAGATATTTGCTGGAGTGTTCTCCGATGTTCTCCGATTTCTGCTGTTCAGCACACAGAATGAAGGCATACGTTTTTCAACTGACTTTTTGTCTTGCTCTAGCCTGAATGCCCGTGCTGTTTTTCAAGAAAACTAGGAGCAAACAAATTCTTACTGGAACGCAATTCGGCAGGAGATCATTGAAGTGCTTGGGTCCTGAAAAGTCCTGAAACACTGTAGGTACTAGCGCGCATCAATGCGC